AGTTTGGAGCAGTTCCAGTTGTCATAGCTTTATATTTCTCTGAATGTTGATATGTTCAGTTTTAAATTAGTTTTCAGATTTATAAAGATTTACTCATATCTGCCTCATTTGAATGATACATTCTCTTGTGTTATAAATACATATCTTGTGTCATAAATACATAATTGTATTAAGTTTGAAAATTAAATATATCTTGCTGATCTTGAAAGGTAATTTTTTAATGCAACTCTTTTTCTGTACTTTTTTCCAGGCTTTTCTCAGTGCCACTAACAGCTCTGGGCCCTGGTTTTTTGTCCCAAAGCAGGGTAGTGCCAGGCAGGCGAATTGTTAGTAAGTTTCCGCCTGGACCCGGGTTGACTCAGCCCGGCCTGGGTACTAATCCCGTAGCTCTCAGAAGACCCCACTCTGAACTCATCCTGCAGCACAGGAAAATGCTCTAATTGGGGGATTTTCTACATCATTAACCCTGATGAGCACCCTCCCCTCTTTTCTCTTCCTCTTTTCTGTGTGTGTTTTTCTTACAGGTCCCACACTTAATCTCCATCTTAAGGTTTTCTCTTTTTCCTTTCTCCCACTCTGACTCCCTTACATTTCTTGGTTTACTTTTATTGTCTCCTATGGAAAGTAGAGACTTTTTTCCCCCCTCTCTGTTCTCTCTCATATGTAAATTTGTAGTAATATATGTAATAACTTGTGAAATAAAAATGGGGTGATTTGGTAACAGATTCTCCCACCTGAGCAGAGGATTTCTGCAGCTCCTCCAATCATGTAATGAACCTCTTCACTTCTTATTTGATTGATCCACACTTTAGCACAGTTTAGGACGGCCATGATAGGTTTGCAGCTGAGCCATATTTTTTCCGTTTCCACATAATGTTTTGAACAATGAGACGCTCGAAGACTGAGATATTATTCTGCAGACTAACTCTGTTTTAAATCTCTCCACTACTCGATCCCTGACCAAGCTGCTCTGTTGACTCTGTTACTGATTGGCTTCTGGAGGCATTTGGTCACACTGAATTTTAATTATGAACATTTAGTGCTCGATACAAGTGTATATTTAATTATTTTTATTTATAAAAAATACTAAAACCATTTATTTTGACTATGCAATTGTTTACTACTTAATGAAAATGAACACAAATTAGTGTTTGTGTCATAGAGTCAAGGCCGCTCTAAAATATAAAGAAGTTTTTGCAGAAAGGTTTAGAGGGTGTGAATACTTTTGTGAGAAACTTTGAGTCTTTTTAGTTTTACCTTCACTATCCAGTAAATTATATCCAAATGATTCCTGCAGATAGCAGATTTCTTGTTTTGATGTTTTAATTGAATTTCTTTTCTCCAATAATAAACTGATTAAACTGTTGTGAATCACTTGAAACCAAATCTGACTTTGAAATCAAAACGGCAACTCTCTTTGTTTCTAACTTTAATTAATTAAATGTCAGAAAATGAGACATTAGCTTCAGAATAAATACTGACCAGGCTGATGTCTTTGTTAGGGAACTAGGATATGTCGGAACTAGGATATGTAATATGTCGGCCATGTGGAACTAAGAGCTGGAGCTTTTCAGAGCTGTTTTTAATACTTTTAGGAAAATTACAACATTAAGCTACATGAAAAACGCAGCTTCTTCAAGACGGCTAGCTCTGCATGAGCTGTTTGGCAAACATTGCAGCAGGCTCCATCTAATCACTTTACAACATGTCAAAAATCATGCAAACATTTCATGCGCTGGTTCATCCATATGTTGCTCAAAGTTTGGGTCTATTCAGAAACTCCATCTGTTTTGGAAAGTGACTCACACTTTGCAGAACGCCGATGAGCGCGGCGCCACCGGTCCCCTCTGTGAACATGTGCAGCAGCGGCTGGCCTGCTGGCAGACCTGCCTGCCTGGGGGCAATTAAAGAGGCCGGGCCCTGTGGTCAGTGGCCCCCCCTGGGGTGCCCTGATTGATTGGAGTCTCATCTTCCTAACAGGCTGGCCCCCTGCCACAAAACCGCGGAACAGCACTGAGCGAAGGGAGGGGCGAGGGAATAAAAGGGCCTTTACATGACAGAAAGAGACGAGAAACATGAGCGTTTAGCTGAAAAGAAAGAATGTATGTCAGATGATAACGATTATACTGTAGTAATCTTGGGTTGCTCTTAAGTCCCAGCAAGGTGTGTGGGAAGGAGTAGTGAGAGGTCAGCATGAAAGCTCTTCAGTGAGAGAGTGCAGATAAGCATTTTTATCAAACTATATTTTTATTGTTCTTACAAGAATGTGAACAAAGATGATCCAGACATAATTAACAGGGATTAAAACAATATAACTATAACTATGACAATACCTTTCACATCTTCACATAGAAAAACAAAAACACAAAAACAAAACTAAAAACAACTCTAGTGCAATTTTTTTAGCACTGTCTACACTTTGGCTTGTTCTTGGTCCAAAAATCATGTTTTTGTTGCATCCTAAGAAAACATTTTGATGTGCAAAGGTAGTCCTCAGTTTCTGTAAAAACTTCACTAACCAAATAACACCAAAAAAATAAAATAAAATAAAAATTACATGAGAACTACAAGTGAGCTGCGGATTCAAAACTATTTTCCCTGTTTGAGCAGTATGAGAAGTAAATTGAACCAAAAATACCTCAGGATTTGAGTTCTTTGCTGTTTACATTTATATTAAAATAAAACATTACAAGACAGAATGCAATGACAGAAGAATAAAGGGGGATTTGAGATTGCACTGCAAAAAATAAAGGTTTTGATCTCCCTCTTTTTCCATGATCAAGTTGAGACATCATTATTCTACCTGTACATGTTCAAGTTTGTGGGATGCAGAAACATCTCTGAATCAAAGCCAATTTTTCTTGTTTCATATTGATTTTTTACAACTGACCTTCTCTACCTTGAAGATAATTAGAGCTCAGTGCTGCAACAGATGGTAAAAGACTGATTCTGTGTCCCTAATGACTGCAGCTTACAATCTATGTTCCTTGTCGTTTGATCAACAGGGGGAAAAAAGAAACTTCCATAACAAAATGGGCCTATTTAGTCCAGCCTGAGACCGTTTCTCCCCCTTCAGTTTCAGACAAAGAGGATACACTTGGATCAATTGTGCCAAACAAAGACCAAACTATGCGGGGTGACGCATCACACAGGACTCTTTCTGCTGCGCTGCACGTACTCTCAGCCAACCAGCACTGAGTTGCCAACAGGTTTTCTCCTCTAACTGCTACTCAAGCAAGAAAAACAACAAAAAAAATTAGTACTTTTGCTGGTTTTCGTATCTGGTCCAACCCTCCATTTCGTATTTAAAGCAGAATGTCAGAAAATAATCAGGATAGGTTTTGGTGCAATATTAACTCTGGGTCTAAAAAGGTGGCAGGACTTCTTTCTTCAGGACCGAATTATTCTTATCTCCAGTTTTCAGCCTCATATTGAAGAAAATCTCCAGGTCTACAGAGCTATAAATGTCCTCTGTTGACCTCTTTCTCCAATGACTTTGAAGTATCTGAGCTCTGAGCTAGAAACACCAACCACAAGCTAAGCCTTACAAAAGTATTCATTCCAGATTTGCCAGCGGAGCCAAACATTTCAGTGTATTTTACTGGGGTTTTATGCGAAAGAAAACACAAAGCTGAGTGTAATTATGAAGTGGAAGGAAAATGATACAAGTCTTTTTTTAATTTGTACAATGAGACAAGAGAAGTGTCGCATACATTTTTTTCCACTAAACTTCATTTACGTTGGGACTCATAAATATAATCCAGTACAAATACAAATATAGGTCGTCCCGTTGTGCGCAGTTCAGTCTTGATATAAACACAATTCTGCTGTGAAAAGTCACATGTTTGAAAACAAAGGAACCAGGCAGATCATGGGGGAAAGGTTGGGCTTCATGGTAACTCTGAAGGATCTGCACTGTTAGAGAATCTGTTGACAGAACAACTTTTAATCGTTCAATCCAAAAGTCTGGCCTTTATGGAAGAGTTGCAAGTCATTAGAAGTTTGTCTGCATGGGCAAAGCAAACATGTATAAGATGTTCAATTCATCTTATAAGATGTTCTGTATGGCCTAGATGTAAAAAATTATGTGAGATAAAAGCTAACATTGCACATTACCCTGAACACACCGTCGCATGGTGAAACGTGGTGGCATCATCATACTGTGGGGCTGATGAGAGTTGGTGGGAAAATGGATGGAGCTAAATACAGTCGAATCCATAAAGGAAACTTATTAGGACTGTAAAAGACAAAGAGGGCGGAGGGTCATCTTCCAACAGGACAACTCTAAACATTTGGAACAGGGATACAATGGAATGGTTCAGATAAAAGTGTATTCAAGTGCTAAAATGGCCCAGTCAAAGCCCACACCTAAATCCCATTCAAAATCTGTAGCAAGACTTGACAGCCTTTCTGACTGCAGATGTGCAAATGTGCAAAACAAGTAAAGATTGACCTTAAAACACTTGGAGCTGCACTAGTTTTGACTTAAGGAGGGTGAATTAATTATAAACTGTGCTGAAATAAACTTTTATTTTACAAAAATCTGTTATCTACAGAGCAATTCAGGAATGGGGCAAATTCCCTAAAAACATCAGATATTTGAATACTTTATTTTAAAGAGAACTGAACAATTTTTAAATCTAGGTGTGTAATTTGTAAAGTGAGATGTATGACAAATTTAATCTGTATTATGTTAATGTTAGAGTTATCCTATGTTTTATATTTTATCATTTGGACCCTAGAAGGCTTAAGACAATTAGTAACCAGGAAGATAATGCAAATGTTTCTCCTTTTGTGTGTGTGTGTGTGTGTCAAAAATCTTTAAAACCCCTTGGCATGGTTTTCCACTTCACCATTATTCACTGCTTTGTATTGTCTCCTCACATAAAATGCTGAAGTTTATGGCTACGATGTGACAAAATGTAAAGAAGTCCAAGAGGTGTGAATACTTTCATAAGACACCCAAGTATGTTCATAAAATGTGAGAATTAATTTGTCTGTGAGTTTTTAAAAAGCATGTTTAATTAAAAAAAGTGAATTACAGTAGTTTCTTGGGTGCAAGCAATGATGACCAGTTGGTTTTTCTGCATTTGTTGCACCCAAGGCACCAAACATCAACAGGAACAAGAGATAACCATTAATGCAACCTCACCATGGTTTCACTTTTAAGTCTTGGAGATGAGAAAAAAGTTAAAAAGAAAAGAAAGTACCAAAAATGTTCTTCCGTTTTCACAGCTCAGTCTCACTTCATTTTTGTGGCAGAGCAGCTTTGTGCCAGGATTGTCCCTCACATGGACTGTCAATTAGTCACATGGGTTGCCAGGTCTTGTCCATGGACTGGATGTGTTCCTTGGCTTTCATTCTCAGAGCGGCGATGCTCGAGCTGCGCTGGTCCACGTCTTCCAGGGGGAATTTATCGGAGTACGGGGCTGGACACTGGTAAGGTGGGGGAGCCATGCTCTGCATCCCCTGCCCCGATGGAGGATGGGGGTGAGCGTGCGGGTGAGGGGCATGGGGGGCACTATTGAGGAATCCGTGGCTGGGATAACTGGGCTGGAGGGCCTGAGCTGGACCCATGAAGCCTGGGATACACTGGACGGGTGTGGCGCTGGACAGGGGAGACGTCAGCCAGGGATCCAACGGGAGGGAGTTGGTTATTTGACCCATGCTGGAGTGAACCGGAGGCGGGCGATTGAAGGACAGCATGGGGGAGTCATGGAGCTTCATGGTGCTGGCGTCCATTTTTTCCTGCCGACGCCATTTAGCTCTGCGGTTCTGGAACCAGACCTGTGAAAGACACAGTTGTTGACATTCAAAACAGTATTACAGTTAATTATTGTTAAAATTACTCTAGTTCCTTACACTTCAAGACCTCAATTCAACTTTTCACATTTTGCTTCCACACATGTTGACGTATCTCGTCAATTAATAGAAATTAGGGCATGTTTCATATTAGAGGTCTTTTAATCCATATGTGGATGTGTGTTTGAACTCCTCCAGTGAAAAATGCTACAGTTTTATAACTGAATAAAGACTCACTACAACCTTCTTCTCTGCCATGTAGCTTTATTTAATAGCTCAGTTTGCATTCAACATATCCATGGACTTTTCAAGTGGAAACTGGTCTTCAATTCCCAACTTACTTTAGTTAACTGGGTTTCCTATGGAGCATTTGACGATGTGAAGGAACTTTAAGACATGAGTTAAGATGGAACTTCATCTAATGTGCCATATGTTTATTCCTTCATGTAATCATATTTGTATTCATGAAAATAAAAATATGAATAGATTGCCTTATACTATGCAAATACATAAACTAGCTTTTTAATCATGTGATATTGTTTGGCGGGATTACTGACAGCTGCAATGCCTTGTAATTAAATTTACAACATAAACCTATCTTTTTTTTTTGTCTGTTTGTTTTTATTCAATTCACCAGTCTTGAATCATGAATTTGCATTTGCAATTTATACCCCTGACTGATTATTGTAAATAATTATTCTGACTGTTTTCCTACGGCGGTGGAATGAGATTATTCCTGTTTGGATTGCTCCGTTTAATCTTACACCTCTTTGTTTTTCTTTTAAAAGTCTTAAATCGGTTGACATTAACGCTGGCATTATCAGTCAATGAAGTCAGTACAGGATCTCTCTGGATACTTGGAACTTCTTTGGGCTCTTCCTAATCTTTTTACACCAAGCTGTTCAAGTAGACACTGGCAAGCAACAGGCGAAAGGCCAAGAGCTTTGACTTGATGCTGGAACAAGTCACATAAGTCAGGTTATTTAAGGTGATGAGGCAAGTGAGGAAATGTTTACTGTAAAAGCATCAACACTGTTTGGCTTTGTGCTGTAAATTTTAGCAGAAGGGGAAGAAAACTTGTACAAAAAAACAGTTGTAGATCTGTAAATAAGTGTTGATAGTGGTTGTTTATGCATTAATCGCGCCCTAAATTAATCCCCCCGCCCCCTCCCAAAATCAGCTTCTTTTTTAACACTAATTTAGAGTTTAACATGTGCAACCAAACCGACTCCAAGGACTATGATTGTTGACAAAAGCACAAAATAAAACAGGGTAACCACTTTGGTGGAAAAACCTGATCAAGGCTCAAAACAGCAGCTTTCAGGAAAAGAGTAATCACAGACAGAGTCATCTGCTAGACTCCATTTATAAGATTAGAGAGGCTAAAATGTAAACAATCAATCCTGATAGATAAACAGTCTCCTGGCAGGATCTCTTTTCGCATTCTAGGTTTCAATATTCATTTTAAAAGTTAAAATTCTCAGAGAAAAAAAACAACAACAAACTTTTGACGTAAGAGTCCAGTGAGGACATTTTGAAGGCTACTCAGTGGACAGTATGTGAAAGCTCAGATCTGTGTGTTTGTGCCCAGTCTGGTGACACTTGTGGCCCGTCTCACCTGGACTCGCACTTCAGGGAGGTTCACCTTCATGGCCAGCTCCTCCCTGCTGTAGACGTCGGGGTAGTGGGACTTCTCGAAGGCGCGCTCCAGCTCGTGCAGCTGGTAGGTGGTGAAGGTGGTGCGGTTGCGTCTGTGCTTCTTCTTGGGTTGATCCTCCTTGCATGACTCAGGTGACTTGCCGTCGTCGCTCTCCACATTTTTCCTGAGCTCACCCAGCTCTTCTTCACTCTTGCTTGTGTACAAACCAGCATCTACCCAGGTGAGAAGACAGAAGAATTGAGACGTTTTCTTGGTTTTGTACGTTAAATACCTTTTGTGGGAATCAGACAAAGAGAGAAAGAGAAACAAGCCTTGTTCTCAAATAGAAGTTGTGACATCTGCTTTCCAGCAGAGCGGACATTTCCCTGACAAGTTCAGCTATAGTTCAGTGAAGCAAGTGATGGCTTGAACATCAATTGACTTTAGAAACGTTCCTAATTGGATTTTTAAAAGTTGATCCCTGTCTTTACCTTCACTAGAGGTAAAATTAAGTTAACAGCTTTAGAGATGCTTTACCTGGATTCCTGGTCCATCACACCTGAATCAAATGATTGGTTAATGGCCAGGCCTTTGCAGAACTTGCTAACATGCCAACAAAATAATTGAGCCTTTTGATTCAGGTACTTTGAGCTGGGATGCATCGAAAAGATGCAGGACTGGAGCTACAGACCTGTTCTTTACCCCTTTGTTTCATTCATTCATTTCATCGTTTGTTTCATTCATACGTAATTCATACGTAACCGCTGTGGATTACAAATAAACTAGGCATTATATTGACAGGTGACATCAGGCACTACAAGGCTTTCCCTCTAATCCTTCCTCCAAGGTGCGGATCACTCTTAACCTTCCTCTCTACTCTTCCTCCTCACCTTCGCCATTGTACATCACCTTCGACAATAAACAACATGGGAAACAGTGAAGTCCACAGTGGGGGGCTGCTGGGCGAATTAGATTAACAAGTAAGTAATTCAATTAAAGAACATACAGAGACCCTGATCCCCCCAATCAGATCAGTTGCTCTGGTTTGCCAGGACTGGACCCGGTTCAAGGGCTGTACAGCACTCAGCTCAGGTTGGATAAGATGCCAATCACTGAAAGAAGGTTAATTTGACTTGCTTGCATAAGAAGTTTAGGTTTAGTGTTGCAGCAGAGAATAGTAGCATTTTGGTAGCATCTGCTTCAGGAGGTAGACGATTTGCTCAAGGAAGGAGACATTTAAAAGCAGCAAGCTACACGAGACGCTGCCACTCATTGAAACATTTACTTTTCAGTCTAAAGTTCATATTGGCAATATAATATAATATTCATCCATCTCCCTATACGCTTGTCCCTAGTGGGATCGCAAGGAGTGCTGGTGCCTATCTGGAGAGGTCGAAGGGCGAGAGGGAGGGTCACCCTGGACAGGTCACCAGTTTATCGCAGGGCAACACAGAGACAAACAGGACAAACAACCACGCACACACACTCACAAGGAGAATTTAGAGAAACCAATCAACCTGGCAGTCGTGTTTTGGACTGAACCTGGAGTACCAGGAGAGAACCCAGACATGCACAAGGAGAACATACAAACTCCATGTAGCAAAAACGACACCAGGCGCTGGGATTCAAACCCAACAGTCAACAGTGCAACCAACTGTGCCACTGTCATAATATAATAAATATAATGTAATGTAACATAAGCAATGGGTAGCAATTGGACATGTCTTATCCACTTTACATTACTGCAGGAATGATTTCACTTGATAACTGTCTTTACCAGCTCCAGAAGAAATTATTTATATTCTTAAATACTTACAAATTTACTGAAATGATCCAGTAAAACTAAAAAAAATGTGGATAAAAGGTAGTTGTTTACCTTCAGAAATAAATCAGTAAAACGGAAAGGAGCTGCAGTTTCATGTGGTAATTATGTTTATTTCCTCACATTTTCATTGACCCAGTGGTGTTATAAAAATGTCGACTGGAGTAGTTTCATGTAGAATAAAAGTTATTACAGTTAGGAAGTAAGCTTTGTAGCAAGATGCCATCTTATGATCTTAGCTTCAATAAAACAACAGACTGTTCCCGAACCCTGGTGCTGCGTTAGGTCATGTTAATGGGACGTATTGATGAGGATAAAGGACAGGCTGGCATGGTCTCTGCACTGACAAACAGGAGCAGCAGCCGAGGCAAAGCGGGGCTGGAGGGGTTAATTTATCCACCTCTCATTAAGGAGCCATGACAAAGGCTAGGCACTGACAAAGGCAGAGGTCAGGTCTGGTTCAGTGACCAGCTCTTGGCCTGTCAGCCCATCACAGCTACTGGTCTGAAGCCTCCCCACTGGGTCTCAGCCAGGACGACATCTCCACACTGAGAGCAGGGGCCGAAGTGACACCAAACAGCAAAAAAATAAAAAAAAATAAAAAATCAAGCAGAGCTCATTCAGGGGGATCTGGACCAACTTCACAGAAAATACCGACATAAAGAGAGCGATGTCATTTGGACAAAAATAAAGCAATTAATAATCTCTCTTATCAAGAGCACTCTGTCTCATCGTCATGCAGATAACAGTGCTTTTTTTTTTTCCATGCTTGTTTCTGCCACCAACCACCTGCCTGATCCTGCATGTGAAAAAAAAGCTTCAGATTAAAACGAGGAAAATTTGATTCTGCGGCCGAACGGTGACAATAACACCCGAATGAACTACTGTTCAATCTAATCTGCGGAGAAGAGAAGATTAGGGGGGAATTCCACAAGGAGATGGAGATGGGATTGGTCTTGGGGACATAAACCCGCTCTGCACCATCTTGTGTTGTGATTTATCTGCTCGGTTCAGTCAAAGCAACAGGATCTACGGAGCAACAGCATGTAACGCTCTGAGCTAAAATAGAAATTTTAATTTGATGCCCGACGAGATTAGACTTTTGTCAGGTTTCTTCAATGAATAAACATTATTGTACTGATTGCATTAGCTTCAATATTTGTACCTGGACTGAGTCCATTTCGTTTTTCACAGTAATGTCCTCACATTTTGTTAAATCGGTGAAATGTTTGAAATGGCAACACTACCCCAGTTTGTTCATTCTTACCATGAAACACTAGGCTTGTATTATAATGTTAAACTCTGCGGTCAAATAGTTTGAAAGATTACTCAGTTTGGAAAGACCTTCCTATTGCTCCAGTGTTGAAAATCAATTTTGTTAATTGATTGAATTTTGACTGAATTTTGTTAATTGCTGAAAATCAAATATACTTTTTTTTTTTTTTTAACAAAATCTTTCCCTAAAATCTAAAAAAAACTCCTCGGACTAACCTTCACACCAAGCCAACTTGACAATCGATATAAAAAATAAAAAAAACACCTAAAGTGTGTTTGCAATAAATAAATAAATAAATAAAAATGTGATGATATATGTAAACAAGTCTTGGGCCCAAAGCAATGGATCCACACTGGTTTAAATGTAAAGAAAGTGTTCATCTGTTTTCACGCACCCTGGTACTGCTGCTGCTGTGAGCTGCTGTTTCTCAGGTGTCCGCTGTAGGACGGGTGGGACAAGGACTCCTGCTGCTTCACGTGATCTCCCAGTCCATCTAAGCCCATCTTCTGGGGCCCCATGGGCCCAGTAGGACTTAGCAAGGGTTCCTGGTCCTTATTGAAGCCTAGGATGACATCAATGCTGTGGACGCGGCCCCCGACTGCGACGCCCCCGCCTTTCCCCATTTCGTGGAAGTTGCTGGGCGAGAGGCAGCTGTCGTCCACCATGCTCATGGTGTCCAGTGATAAATGCATCCGAACGTCTGGGGGCGTCACCTGGACAGAGGGCAGAGGCGAGGGTGAGGAACCAGAGGAGGTCAAAGGCGACCCGACATGTTCACTGGGCCTCTGGATGGATTTTACTCTGTCCGGATTGGGCCTGCGCTCACAGTAGACTCCAGATCAGGGCCCAGTTAACTAAATACAACGAGTTGGGCAATGTAATCTCATAGGATTTCCTCAGTTAGAACCCATGTGTGTTCAACCTTTTACTCAAAACTATTCACATTTTGGGCCAGTTTTCTATTAATACGGGCCCCATATGCAAATGTTTGCCAAGAAATCTCCGGATCACACTTAATGGCTCTTTTTCAGCTACAATATATAAACCTGAATCTTGTCTTCAGAGGTTTATATTACTGCTGAAACTGATTGAATATAACATATTATATGTTCAGTCTTTTTCTGAATGGTTTGAACTTGGTGTCACATACTAAAAAGTAACACAATGACCGATTAAGTTATAAATAACTAGAAACAAACATAAATAGTGCTTTAGGCATACATTTAAGTCAATGTGTCACTTATACAGTATTTAGTAATTTCATTCTGTATTTTTATCTGTTGGTCTTCCATAGTTAGTGGGCCGGCATGTTGCAGCTCTGGTGAAGAGGATGATCAATAATTTTTAGAACAAGTCAGAGTTACAGTTTTTATTGTTTTATTTTTTTTATTATTATTGATGCAGTGCATCAATAAATGAAGCATTAAATGAGTTCATCAATTCTAGTATAACTTCACATAATTCAAAAATAAAATGAGACCAAATTTTTATTTATGCGTTTTAAATATGTTTTAAGTAATATAACTGCTAAGGTATTGGCAAACATAACATCCAGTTATGTTTTAATTATGTTTTAATTAAGTCCTTTTTCAGACATTTTTTAAATAAAGTTATTACTAAATTCCTTCATCTTGAAACAGCAATTAATTGACAGTCATGAAGCTGTGATCATCAATATTAGTTGATAACAAACCTTCTCCCGTCTAATCAAAGATCCAACTTTTATATGTGTTTTGAAAAACCTAATTCAAACATGTTCATTTCATATCACATCAAGCCTTTAAGTGGTAGAAACGTCTCATCCTGTTTAACTACCATAGACGGGTAAAACTTAAGATGCAAAAATGCCAAAGAGTCAGAAATGTCAGTAGTGAAGGGAAGTAAACCTAAATTTTGTTAAATTAGTTGGCCAGTAGACTAAACCCAGATGTGTTTAGCATGTTTTAAACTTTTAATCTGCAAAGAAACATGCAATGGCTACCTGTTGGAAGGACAAACGATGACTTGCTGGAGCTGCTGACGCCGGGCTCCACCTGCTCCTCTCAGCCTCCAACTTTTTGCTGTTCCCAGATCAGTTTTATCGCTCCTCCTGCGGTTTCTCTCAGTCCAGCCTGGTCTCTGCTCTGCATTCCTCGATGTATTTCCCCCAGCGTGCCATAAATGGTCCCAACAGGAACTCTTCTGAAAAGGACCAACCTATAGAGCCGCTCAGTTTAGCAGCATCCACTCCGGCTCGGAGAGCAGAGTGGTAGAGGAGTGAGACCGGGAGGGAGAGGTGGACAGAGCTGAGGAGGCGTAGGAGGTGAAACCAAAGGATTAGGACAGCTTGTTTATTGCAGTCCTTCCTCTTTAAGAGTGATTGGCAGCCGTTTTCTGCTCAACTAACTGCTTTAAATATCCATTAGAGTCAAATGAAAGACTTTTGCTGATGTAATTTTGGTTGTTTCAGAGGGAAATAATTATTAAGTTTTCACTAAGCACAGTCAGCCTTTTTGCACCGAGACGAAGAAAGGAAACGCAACATATCCAAAGAAATACATGTGTATTATTAATGAACACTTAAAATCTTAACAAAAGAGTAATGTTTATAATTGCATGTAATTTCCCTTGCTCCACTTTATATCTGATAAAATAAGTAAACAAAAGTGCAACAAAAATTGTGCTTATTGTTCAATTTAGCAAGATGTTGAAGTAAAATGTAACATTTTCTAACATCTAAATTAATTAGGAAGTTTAGGAATGAATGAAAAGCCTGAAAAAGATGGGTGAAAATTCAGCATTAAATCTTTTATTTCAGTGCCAAACTGTAAATTACAATAATTATCATAATTTGTTAAGTAAAAATATTCCACAACAAGAAATATTTTTCTAGACAAACTAATTGTTTCCCCTTGAACAACACCTATAAAATCATTGTTATTGAAGCATTTTTAAATGTATATTATGCTTTGTAAGTGTCATAAAGAATGTTTAATTAGAAGTTAATGACTTCCTGTTTTTCTGGCATATAAATTTAGAAGGCATCCATTACCTGCTCCTCAAAATGGAAGTCATGTATGTGTATTGATTTTTGGCTTCACTCCCACATTTGCCCATATTTACAGTCAGAGTAATGATAGAAAAAGATAAAAACAACTTGAACTCTGACAAATTATGTTGGACAAAGACATAAGTTTATCCTGCCACCATTTGGCAGGACTGAAGGCGGAAAATCTCCAGAGTTCACTGTTGGACAACTGCAAGTATTATTTCATTTTATTGTTTACTATTTTATTATTTACTATTTTATTTTATTTTATTTATTATTTATGCTACTGCAGATTCAATTCCAACACTTTTGTGCATCATGAATTATGATCCTTTGTGTCAGAATTTTTTCCAAAGCATTTTTGATTTTCTTAAGGCATAAAAAAGGTGGGAAAATAATTTGTAAAAATAAAATTCTATATATTTTTTGTTTTTACTAGGCAATCAGTTGTAATTTTCTCCAAAGGCAAAGTTGTTATTTGGAAAATACATCAGTAGTGTTGGTCTTTAGGGGTTACTTGATGTCACAATATTTTTTTATTTTTTTATTTGTTTATTTTTTTTGTACTTGCAAGCATCCTCTAGAAGGATGGACTGACTGGGTTGGTTGGCATGCCTTTTTGTCTGTCTACAATGTTGGATTTAGCAAAAAAATGTCTTGCAATTGCAGTGGATGGCCAGTAGTTGGTAGTGTATTCTACTTCAGTGGTCTGCTTGCATTTGTAACATAAAAATCTACAAGAAGCACAAGAAAATGGCTTTTAGGTAGCTGCCCACTGTAGTGACCGCTACGCATGAAAGGGTTAAAGCTTCTTACACATTTCCACCAAGTGCAAATTAATTTTTTTTTTGTCAATGTGGATGAACATATAGGAGTTGCATTCATTTAATTAGTTAAATAAAGCAAGTGATAGCCAATGTGTGCTTTTATTTATTTAGTTTTGAAATATTATTACATGAGACACTTTCACAGCCTCTAAAACTACTAAAACTTTTAAGAGACGACCCCTGCATCACCCTTTACAATATTATCCATCTGTCCATCCACAGAGTTTCACTGCTTATGTTAAGCAATGAAACAGTCGTGTTTTTGCACTGTGGGGGGGAAGGTGGAGTATTCAGAGAGAGAACCAGTACATGCATGGGAAGAACAAGCAAAACCTTTGCCTAAGAGGGAACCCAAACCCAAAGGTGTAATTCATGCAAACCAGGAGGTTCTGACAGAGGAGAGTTTTTTTGTTTTTGTTTTTGTACTTGTAGGGTTTCTGATTTGTATCGTTCTTCATGGACTCTCTCTTCCACTGTAGATCACAGTGTGGATTTGAGGTTCAGCTGCCATCTGAGTAATACCAACAACAAACCTTAGTAAAGATATTTACTAAAAAATAATTACGTCCTTCCATATGTGGGTCAATGGAGACCGTGCAGGTGTAGGGCATGGGGAACAAATTGATTGCACAAGCAGGTTGTTATTGATTCAGTGGAAAGGTATCGACTTCCAGATGGCAGGAGGTTAAACAGCTTATGGGCTGGAAGAGAGTGATCTCTCACGATAGCGAGCGATTCCTCGTTGCATCTCTCTTTAGGAAATAGCCTCTAAGTTGTTACGTAGATCCCGATGACTCTAGGTATTGCAGAGCACGATGAACCTCTTGCCAAACATAAACCAGCTTAACATGCAGGTTTTTGAGGGCAAAATGAAAATGGAGAACGTAAAGAAAGCCAAGATGGTAAAATAAATCATCTGTTTAAAATGAAATTTGAATCAGTACTTATAGTTTCTTTTCAAACTAAATAATTGCTTATATACTTTAAAGTTGATCTCACTTTAGCCGTAATCTGAAGGAGCAGTTCATTTTGTGTCAGCAGCATATGAGAAACACAGGTTGATGTAAAAATAGATACACAGGACATGACGTATTTTCCATGAAAAAGGGAAGTTATTCAAAATAAATATGTCGTATGTCTGGTTTTGCCTCCAGATCAGTTTGTCTCCTCATAAATTCATACTCTCATTTTCAGCCTATCTTCATCTCCATGCCAGTAAATTACGGCCAAAGCTGAGGAGCAACTTCCTGTCCTAGAAATGAACTGGAGACAAATAATCCTTCACTTCTGTGCTCACTTACATGCAAACATGTCCAGACGCTCACACAGCACATTTCTGCACACGAGCAGGTGCAATACATGCAGACACAAGGTGCATGCAGAAGCTGAAAGAGTTTTCTGTAAAGTTTTCGGTCCACTGTGCAACTTAGCTTAACTACCTGGCATTTCAATTTTGTTTTTGTTTAAGAAAAATACCAGCTGTAACATTTTAAACAAAATGTCCCAAAGTCCAGCCCCCGACAATTTGAGCACATAATACAAGACAAATCTGTAAAGCCATGAAACTGTGAAGAGAAGCACCAAAAAAACTTTTTGTTTGTGTCTATATCTATGTATTTCTTACACATATCCACAGTTTCCACCATGCATACAGATCAGCTGATCCGAACATATAATCGCTGTCATATAACTCTGAATAGGTGGGAACTATTGGAAGAAAAATAGCTCCGAGTTGAGCGTTACCATAGTGTCACTCTGGATCCACACCTCTGACCTTTTCAAATGTTTGTCAGGCTGATGAGAAATATATATAAAAAAAATCACACACTGCGCAAAGTTTGGTGAATTTGCTTACTGTGAAGCTACTGTGAGGAATAAAAACACCCGTGGAGCTGGAAAGAAGGGAGAGTTTCAGACCTCCTTAGTCCTCTCTGCAGGATGCTTTGGCAGGTCAACTCTAAATTTCCCCCCCCCCCCCCATCCCCCTCCCCCCAACCCGGCACGGATAACACATCTAAAATCTCTCACCCAAACAGTGGTGGAGCTTTGTGGTTAATTTTAGCCTGCAGATTTTGATAAAGAGGAGACCTGTGCGTTCATGAGAAGCTCACGCAAAGAAAAACAAGAACAGGTACAAGGAAACTACTGCAAACAAGCTCCAAAATCAAATGTTTAGCCATTGTTGAAGCCGCTGAATTATTGAAATACATCATATTTGGACACTAATGCTGTCGATTTATAGCTTAAGGTTAATTCAAAATGTGTTTTTTATATATATTGTGAGGGGATGTTGTTGCAACAAAAGAGCAAGGATAGAAACTGTGACATTACACTGCTTATTATATGCCTGAAATTTCTCTTTGAAATTTGAAAAGTGAATATACGAATAAACGTATTTAAAGATGCTTCCCATTTAAATCTCTCATTTATTGAAAAATTCCTCTCCTTTTTCAACAAGCCTGTGGAGCACCATGATGCTCATCGCTCATATTTTTCTTGAAAACATTTTCGTCCTTCCAAGGTTTCCCAGTTATCTTAATTGAGCATAAATTGGTTAAGAAGGAGCAGTGTAGTTGTCAAGCTGCTTAGTTTTATCAGATGACAAAGTTAAGTCCTGCTGATCCTATTAGAGGTAAAAGCAGCTAACGTGTAAATGCACAGTGTCAGCTTAGTGGGGAGGGAGCAGAGGTAGGGAGGGCAAGTTCATGTGACCGTAAGATGTCTGTCATTGACTTACACACACACACACACACACGCACACACACACGCACAGCTCTGTTTTGATTGGCTCTTCTCAGATTCAGTTTTCCACAAACTGTTTAGGATGCCTTACATGGTGACATTTTTCTTAGAAGTCAGCATCGTTTAAACTCGTTCCTGCATATCTATCAAATAAACTGATATTAGTATCAATGTTTTTATATCTAAACATTAAGAAGCAACTTTTCCCATATTTTCCTATATCCTCTCTTCAGCTGCATCGTCTGTTGTGTCTGAAATGCTGCCAGCTGGAGCCTCTCAGAAAGATGCAAGGATCTCTCAGAAGGCTTTGCTCCGTTTAGCCTCATTTCTGATCAAACTGCTTCACAGTTTGATTTTCATTCCTGAGATTCTCCTTCCCCAAAGGGAGAGCATGAGAACAGAATGAGAATGACTCAAAAATGTCCATGTTGCAAGCAAATATATTTATATAAAGTTCAGTTTATCAAGAAATACTTGTTTTTATTCAGAATAATCTCTTGATTGCTTTTAGTTAGACTTTTCAACCCCGTCACAGTCATAAAAATCTTTTTTTTTTTTTTTTTTTTTTTTTTATTTTGTTTAACCCTTTTTTTTTTGGTCCTTCGGGTTTTTTTTATTTAAAATTT